GGAGCCCGGCTTCCTCCCCTCCTCCCTCCCTTCCTTCCTTCCGCTCCGCTGTGCGCTAACCTTGGGGTGTGGCGGCCTTAATGCAGGGCCTGCACCGGGGCCCGGGCTCGGGCGAGAGCCGGGGCCGCGCGCGCCCCAAGTACTCAGACTGAGTGTGGGCCTCACCCCTGCCAAAGGCCTGCCCCCGCACACTTCCTGTCACCTCCTCCCCGCCCTTTGCTTCGGAGGCTGAGACAGGTCGAGTGCTCCACACCGTTGAGTCACGTAAGGATTCTTAGGGATCGCCACAGTGCGAGCCAGCGAGCGAGCGAGCAGGTGCCAGCCTCCCACCATGTCAGGGAAGCGGAAGCGTGTGGTATTGACTATCAAAGATAAACTTGATATAATAAAGAAACTCGAAGATGGAGGCTCTTCCAAGCAGTTGGCGGTGATATATGGGATTGGTGAAACAACAGTTAGGGATATAAGAAAAAACAAGGAGAAGATTATAACTTACGCAAGCAGCTCCGATTCTACAAGTCTCCTAGCTAAGAGAAAATCTATGAAGCCATCCATGTACGAGGAACTAGACAGAGCAATGTTAGAGTGGTTCAATCAGCAGCGAGCCAAAGGGAATCCCGTATCTGGATCCATTTGTGCCAAACGGGCAGAGTTCTTTTTCTACGCTTTGGGAATGGATGGTGATTTTAACCCTTCTGCTGGTTGGTTAACCCGCTTTAAACAGCGGCACAGCATTAGAGAGATTAACATTAGAAATGAAAGATTAAGTGGAGATGATAGAGCTGTGGAAGATTTTTGTAAGAATTTTAGAGATTTTATCGAACGGGAGAATTTGCAGCCAGAACAGATCTACAATGCAGATGAGACTGGACTGTTTTGGAAGTGCCTACCTTCCAGGACTTCGGTAATTAAAGGTAAACGCACTGTTCCTGGGCACAACTCGTTTGAAGAAAGAGTCACTGTTATGTGTTGTACCAATGCAACAGGCTTACACAAACTTAAACTTTGCGTTGTGGGCAAAGCGAAGAAACCTCGATCCTTCAAGTCGACTGATACCTTAAACCTGCCTGTCTCTTATTTTAGCCAAAAAGGTGCTTGGATGGATCTCTCCATTTTCCGGCAATGGTTCGATAAGATTTTTGTGCCTCAGGTTCGAGAGTACTTAAGATCTAAAGGCTTGCAGGAAAAAGCTGTGCTCTTGCTGGATAATTCCCCAGCACATCCAAATGAAAATGTCCTGAGGTCAGATGATGGCCAAATATTTGCAAAATGTTTACCACCAAATATAGCCTCATCGATTCAGCCTTTGGATCAGGGAGTCATAGCAACTATGAAAAGAAACTATCGCGCAGGTCTTCTGCAGAACAATTTGGAAGAAGGTAATGACCTGAAATCATTCTGGAAAAAGCTGACTTTGTTGGATGCACTTTATGAAATAGCAATGGCATGGAACTTAGTAAAGCCGGTTACCATTAGCAGAGCTTGGAAACAGATTCTTCCTTCCATAGAGGAAAAAGAAGGTTTGGACTTTGATGAAGAAGATATTTCTGGGGCTACTGTGGCCACCATTTTACAGCATACCAAAGGACTGGAAAATGTGACTCCTGAAAATATGGAGAAGTGGCTTGAGATTGACAGTACTGAGCCAGGTTACGAAGTATTAACTGACAGTGAAATTATCAGAAGGGCCCAAGGCCAGACAGATGAATCCAGTGAAAACGATGAGGAAGGAATTGAACTGATTCCAGAGAAACATATAAATCATGCAGCTGCTCTCCAATGGACTGAGAATTTGTTAGATTATCTAGAACAACAAGGTGATATGATTCTACCTGACAGACTGGTAGTACGAAAACTTAGAGCCACCATCAGAAATAAACAGAAGATGACAAACCCAAGTCAATAGCAGCATTTGAATCTTATCATTGTTATAATTGTATCTGTGTGACACTTTGAGATGTAGCTAAATTTTCTTAGTGTTCTACTTTGTCAAACTTAGTCCTATGAAATACATATAAAAATGTAACTGAAGTGGTTTGAGGATTATGTGTCTTATCCCCTTATTTGTAAAAACAGAGCTACTGCTACTTAGATATAAGTAAGACATACTTATGTATTTGCTTCTGTAAATCAGTGATCTAATGGCATATCTAGCTTTAAAAAATAGATGCAGTGAGCACTTTCCTAAATTCTTTTGCTTGCATTGAGGGCTGCAATAGCAATCTTGTGCTAACCATCTTAAGTGGTTATCTGGTTTTTGTATTTGTATAGGCTGAGAATTAAATGACCAGGATGGTAAATGTTAATTTTAAAATGAAGTTCAATAATGATGGTGGAAGTAATCTATGAAATAGCTTAGAATCATATTTCTGTTTTCTTACATTTTTGTGGGTGGAAATATAATTCTGGAAATGATTTATATGTAGAAAGTAATTATTAAATGAGAGAAACTGGAAAGCTGATTTATGAGGGATATTTTGATCTGTTTATTTGGAGGAAACTGTTAAAAATTTGGGAAGCATTAGGTTTATTTATACAAAGAAAAAAAGGATTTTTTAAAATTTTGAGTTGGATAACTATAGAATTATTTATTTACCTAATTTTTCATAAATGTTTTTAATTATTACATGCAATGTGAACTCCCACTAATATTTGGGAAACATGAAATTTGCAATTTAATTTTTTTACTGAATATTTAGAAATATCTATAACTTGAAAATTTGTCATACTTGGCTGATTTTATTTCATGTGAAAAAATAAAGTTTTTTATTTTAGATAAATCATGTTTGTATTCTGTTTTTTGAAGAAAGCACAAATAGCTAGGAAGTGCTAGAGATAATTGTTTTGGCACAAAAAAGAGTCCTGTAATTTGTTCTAAGAGTTTTGAATATTTTGCTTTTAACATTGGTTATCTTGGGTTATTTAACATTTAACATTGGTTATTAACGTTTAACATTGGTTATCTTCTAAAACTTTTAAGAAGATTTTTAATCATCCCATAATATCTGTTATCTTTGATATGTGTGTGTGTGTAGATTTTTCAAAGTACTAATTTATGATAAAAGTCTTTTAAATTGTGTTGTATTAATTCTGAGTGCCTAGTGGGGAAAAAAAGCACTAGAAGTCAACATGAATATTGAATTAGATAAAAATTATTAGTTAAATTGCATATAAAACACTTTTTATAAAATGAAAATATACACTAGAAAGCCTCTTGATTGTTTTTCCTGGATTTACTTTTTTCATGTGAAATGCAGCTGTATCATTGCCACCTAGTGGTCAAATCATCCTTACTGTTGAGCTGTTTGCTTTTAAACACCTAGTAAAAGGTTCACTGTGTCCTTGACTGGTTCACATGTCCTTGAATCTTGTGACTATCTCTAGACTAGGAAACTGGTCATCTTTGGTTAGTTATTTTTTCTCTGAAATTTTTGAACTGTAAGCTAGCAGTTCTGTATTGGTCCAAAATGCTTAATTTCATCAGTTAACCAATTCTTGAGTATTGTTTGTGTTCTAAGTTGTGGACTTTTATTATTTAGTTAATTAATAATTAGATGGGAATTCTTATGGCTGTTTCTTATTCTTACTTAGTTCAGGTAAGCATTTAAGCTCAGGTGTTTGACTCTAAAGGCCTATATAATTTTATTACCTAGTCAGTTTAGATGAAATTCTTACTCTTTCTCAGTCTTCAGTATTTATTATTTACAGCCTCCCTTGTTCTTTTGCTTAAATTATAAGAAAAAAGGTACAGAATGAGACATGAGAACAAGAGATACATTAACGATAGTTTATTGTATCACGGGAGAGCGAGCAAGAGAGAAATAGAGTAACAGAGGAGAGGAACAGAGTTAATGGCTGACCTCCATGGTCGATTGCCAGAGAGGGAGAGGGAAGCAGAGAAGTTAGAACTTTTAAAGGGAAGACCGCTCATGTGCACTGAGGTCCCATGCATGCACAGAGTCCTCACAGGGTCTTAATGTGTGACAAGTGACGTGGTGATGGCGTAGCAGTCCCTGTGCGTGCCATGCCCTTTGTCAGGGGGTGGGGTCAGCCTGGTTGTCTGTCCTAACATCCCTCTATCACTTGCCACATATATGTGAATTTTTATTTGTTTGCCAGTGCATTGGTGGTAACCATTGCCCTTTCCTTTATTCTTTAAAAAAAAAAATATTGCCTTCCTCTCTATTCTGTAGTACCTTTTTCCATCAGTCACAGCATTTGAAGGTCTGCCTTTTGGTTTCCAGGTCACAATGTTAAGTGACATCAGTATTGGCAAAATGAACAGTTTTTGTATAGATTTCTTTTAAGTTCACAGGACTTAGAGTCATAATATCAACATAGAAGTCTTGCTAGGCTAGAAATACTGAGAATCATTACTGAAGGAAGCCCAGCTTTAAGTAGGCATTAGAGAAACTTGGATTGCCACTGATATCTGCTCATCTGCAATGCCAGAGTGAAAGTGGTCAAACAACCTGGTTTATCCTTTGCTATTCTATGAGGAGGCAGCCTCCACCTGACACCTGAGCATTGTTTAAGCCCTATTCCTGAACTTTGTCTCTCAGTGAATAGAGCCCATCCTTATGAAAGAAACCCCATGCATATTGCATCCTCTATAGATAGGATCTATTCTTATGCTTATTACATCCTGTAGGCACTAACTCTGAGCTATTTTTGTCAGCCAATAGAACTCATTCTTACTGCAAAGGTCACTGCTTTGCTAGTGTTTTTCTATGTAGCTATGCCTAAAATTTTGTTGTGATAATTATCATATGGATCCATTTGGACTTAAGTTTTGTGCATGTCGATAGACATGGATCTCTCTGCAGTCTTCTACATGCCAGCAATTCCACTCTTAGGCATATACCTAAAAGAAACACATTCATACAACAAGGACATCTGTTCAGCGATGTTCATAGCAGCATTATTTGTAATAGCCAGAAACTGGAAGCAACCGAAGAATGGATAGAGAAAATGTGGTTCACAATGGAGTACTACTCAGAGAGGGAAAAAACAAAAAACAAACAAACAAACAAAACGGAATCTTGAAATTCGCAGGCAAATGGATGGAACAACAAGAAACCATTCTGAGTGAGGTAACCCAGTCACAAAAAAGACAAACATAGTATGTACTCACTCATATGTGGATTTTAGACACACTGCCAGAGAAGCTAATAAACAAGGAGGACCCTAAGACATACATGGTCCCCTGGAGAAGGGGAAAGGGACATGATCTCCTGAGCAAATTAGGAGCATGAGGGGAGGGGAGAGGGATCTAGGAGAATGAGAGGGGGAGAAGAGGAGGGGTGAGGAAGACATGATGGGGCAGGGAGGTTGAGTTGGGGGAAGAACAGAAGAGAGAAATATAAGAGATAATATAATAAAGGGAGACATTATAGGTTTAAAGAGAAATCAGGCACTAGGGAAATGTCTGGAGAGCTACAAAGATGGCACCGACTAACAATCTAAGCAACAGAGGAGAGGCTACCTTAAATGCCCTCCCCTGATAATGAGATTGATGACTGACTTATATGCCATCCTATAGTCTTCATCCAGTAGCTGGTGGAAGTAAAAGCAGACACCCACAGCTAAACCTTGAACTGACCTGAAATCCAGTTGCAGAGAAGGAGGACTGATGAGCAAAGGGGTCTAGACCAGGCTGGTGAAATCCACAGAAACAGCTGACCTGAACAAGGGAGAGCTCTTGGTTACAGACTGATAGCTGGGAAACCAGCATAGGACTGATCCAGACCCCCTGAATGTGGGTGTCAGTGATGGTACTGACAGAATTTCACTTATAATTCATGCAAATCATCTTGACACATTGCTGCAAGCTTATTAGCATGGATGGATGCACTAACATCCAAACAGAACAAAGAGGTAATCTCCAAGTAAGACAATATGGGGGAAGAGTGGAGGATGCAGCTAAAGGGAAATAAGGGAGTGTACAAGGGAGTGTGGCATACGGGGATCTGCACTTTACAGTGTGTGCATTTCAGCATGCCAGATCTGGGGTTTCTGGTTTGTGTTGTGTTGCGTGGTCCTATAGGGAATTTTGATTCAGGGCCAAGTTAAATGCCTTTGATCACTAGTTGGCCCCATTTGATAGATGGTTTTAAAAGTTGTTTGACCACTACATCTGCCCTCAAAGCTATGAGTTCTTAGTTCCCGATTCTTGTTCACATTACCTTAATCAAGACTATTTGATGGCCTATTAAAGATAGCCATAGACATTTTGTCCTGTCTTTTGAGTCTCTTTCTGTTGATACATGTTGACTAAGTACTCCTAGAAAGTGTGCAGCACAGAGCTTCTTATATGACTCATGGCCAGAAATTCAAGGAAGATGGATTAATTTTGAGAAATGAGTTACTTTTTCTGAAAGATTTGAGCTTCATGGGGAACAGGGAGAGTGGTAGTGAGAAAAATAGAATTCTTTGTACTTAAATCTAGTGAATAAAAATGTATTGAATATATGCACAAAAGTGGCAGGTGTTTGGGATTTAAGAGTGTAATAGAGGCTGGAGAGATGACTCATCTGTTAAGAGAACTTACTGCTGTTGTAGAGGACCTGGGTTTCTTCCTAGATGCACATGGTGACTCACAAGTGCCTCCAACAACAGTTGTAGGGGACCCAGTCATGTCTTTTGACCTCTGCAGGTTCCTGCATGCACACAATGCACAGAAACTCAAGCAGGCACAAGCACATACATAAAAATAGCAAAAAGTTTTTCAAAATACATATATATTCAGAAAGGCTGTTATTTAAGAATCATAAAATCAGGGTGGAAAAGCAACACATTTGAAAGGATAATCCATTTTGTCCCCCATAAAATAGCTGACTTTGTTTACATAGTGGAAATCCATTATGTAAAGAAAATCAGATTTTGCTTATTCACTTCTTGAATGGTTTCCATTCTGTATACCCTCTGCTTTGGGATATTGGTTTTTGCTCCTGGGTAATTTCATGTTTCTACATGACCCAGTCACTCCATCTTCAAAAGTTCAGATGTATACCTTCAGCTGAGAAGTAGGAGTCTTGGTGCTACTTGAATCCCAATATTTAGTTCACTTTTCAACCCCTAACCTCCTTAAAAGATCAAAACCTCACACTTTTAGGACCAATTATACTCCTTAGAGATGTACTTATGTCAGCCTTTTTAAAAGCAGTGTTGTGTTCCACAGTTCTTAGGTTCACACAGCCACATGCAATTAGAAGTTGGGAGAAGGCACTTACTTCCTCCTTGACTCCCAGTGTGAGAATTATTTGTAGGCCAGAGACTTAAGAATTTCATGGAGTTTTAGTTTTCTTGTACCTGTTGAGGTTTGCTATGTTGCCAATTATGTGGTCAATTTTAAAGAAGGTTCTGTGTGGCTCTGGGAAGAAGGTATATTCTTTTGTATTTGGATGGAATGTTCTATAGATGCCTGTGAAGCCCATTGGGCCATAACTTCTCAATTAGTTCTTTTGTTTCTTTGTTAAGTTTCTGCCTGGTGTTCCTGTCCAGTGGTGAGAGTGGAGTGTTGAAGTCTCCCACTATTAAGTGTGTGCGGTTTTATGTGTGATTTGAGTTTTAGTAATGTTTCTTTTATGAACATGGATGCCATTGTATTTGGGGAATACATGTTAAGAATTGAGACTTCATCATGATGGATTTCTCCTGTGATGAGTAGGAAGTGATCTCCTTCATCTCCTTTGATTGATTTTAGTTTAAAGTCCAATTTGTTGGATATTAGAATTGCTACCCCCTGCTTGTTTGTACTCACTCATATGTGGATTTTAGA